CTATAAAAAGGTAGTATTACCACCTTATCTATTTCTGCTGCCAAGCAGTAATGTGAACACAGTTTGTTTGTGAATTTACGGGCACATGAGACTTGTCAACTTATGTCTCAGGGTGACGGACGCAGTGGTAGTGCCCTTCAGATCTTTGCGATTTAAAGCTCTGAGCGGCACTGCAACTGTTATGGACAGGCGTGTCGCTTACCAGGTTTGTTCATCCCATCACTTGGTGTCATGAAAACTAACTATACATATACAATAATATAATTTGACTATGAAATACAAATTTCGTAATTATTTTCCCGTATTCTTTGAGATTTGCATTATAATATATGCCTTGATGGAAGTAACAATAGTAGGAATCGTATCTTGGAAAATACAAATTATTTTAACACTCATTATTGCTTGACGACAGATAAAGGTATAATTGGAGACAGTACTTCCCTGGACGAACTCTCGCAAGGAGCTCTACTGCTACTAAATATATGTAATAGTTTGGCGTGTTCTAATCAGCTTTAGTCAAAAAACATTTGATCAATACTTTATACTGTAAAAGCCTAATGAGAGAACGGCTGCTTCATAATCGAGAGGTCGACAGTTCGAATCCCCGTAGCGGCATAAACGGTCTTAATTTGTATGTTACGTACATTTGTGATTGTTTAGTAGTTACCTAGTTGTTAATCATTTTTTTAAATCTTTTTTACAGTTACTAATCTTTTGGTATTTTTACATAATAATGCACACTACGCAATAGACCCTTTACAATATTTGTCCATCTTGGAACTGGGGTTAAGGAACTTCTAAAGATCTGATGAGGAAGAAAACTCTGGTGTAAAAATAGTTTAAAATTACATGGAACTAATTGCAATAATTATGACCTGTTAAGGTTACAATTGTTTCACATGGAACTGGGGCGCATGGAACTGGGAATAAACGACATTAACGTCACAATGTTTTTGCTTTTGATGCACCGCAACGCCTCTCGAAGGTGGTGGCTGAAAATCAGTGTTTGGGCCAATTTCATTTTCACACAATATTTGGCTTGCTGCAGCACACACAAGCTGTTGAACATTAGGTTAGCAGTTCTTGTTTGTTCTCATTTCATTTTCTTTGATTTTAATTTCTGTTTCTCTTTTAATTCTGATACAAGACAATAAACGTTTTATCTATCTATCTAGTAGCAATTCCGCTCGCTAATGAATGATGGAAACTGCATTTAAAAGGTTCATTTTGAAGGTTCCAAGGGTTCGAAATGTAGCCTAAACATTCTCCTTAGTGTGACGTGTAATGTGCCGTTGATGATGATGTAATTCTCTAGTGTTTTTGTCTTCTGCTACAACTTTCACCCTATTTCCCCTGTTAATGGCGCAATCTGACCTATTTATCTCAACTTTCTACGCAGCGTCTATTATACTTACTGTTGTTTGTTTCGATTTCATGCTTATTTGTTTATCGATGCACACGTTTTTGCTATCTTGTGGATTGTGGATTTTGACCGTATTAATTAAGCGCAGAGACTAGTTCAGAAGTTTGAAAAGTGATGGTAGGAAAAGAAGGAAACATTCTCGAAGATTTCGTAAAAAAATATTTTTGGGGAAGCGAGAGAATTCGCCTTTCCCATCCGCCTTCTACATCCATTAGCCGTCCCGCAAATTTGATAATAATTATCACAAATACATTTTACCTGGTCCCAAATAGGGAATTACCTGTTCTATAAACCTAGAACATCTAAATCAGAAACCATTTTTGTAGGTTGATTTCCCAAACTGGTCAGTGGTAATCGTTGGGCTACCGACGTCCTTAATCTAAAGCCAAGTTTCTCAAAGTGGTCCTTACTAACCCCTGGGGTCACTACACACATATGGATCACCCTATCCAAGCTGTCCGAAAGTTTTCATAAATTTCATTTCATTTTCCCTTTTTTCGGTGAATATCTGATGAAAATGGCAGATTCTCTAAAGGACTGTTTTTTTACAATCAGCCGGACAATTCAATTGCACGTTTTAGTTATGGACAACTAATATGCACAACTAGTCGTGTTATTGTATTATAACATGTTATTAATAATAATTTCGTGTAGGTCTACACTAGTGTTAATTCAGACGTATACTACTTTCTTTAGTTTTCCTAAAATGTATTAAGTACATTGTTTTAAAAATTAAAAATGTGTACTTACTAACCTGCAATGTTTTTATATTATATAATAATAGGAGTATTTTTAGTAGGTTTTATTAAATCATATTAGTTAATTCAGTTAAATTCAGGGGTTCTAACTGAAGTAAGTTTGGGAATCACTGGTCTAAACGAACAAATTGTTTCCATTTCTCATTTTGTTATTTATATTTATTTAAAAAAATCGTTGGCATAGCTTTCTCGATTACTTCAAGCTCTGAAAGATTAATGGCAAATGCAAATATTTTAAGTCGACCTAAATATGCGCAATACGAAAATGAATAAAGTATAACAAAGCAAATGTGTTTAACGAATTGCCATATAGGTTAACGTGGAAATCTTTAACTAACGCTGACGCCTAATTAACTTACAACTAGTACAAGTTTGCAAATGTTTATTCTTTATATCGGTGTAAGCAGTAAAATTGAAGTTATTAACTTCTAGCAATTTTGAAATCTTATTATCCTTTTTTAAATAAGTTTTTGTATATTTGCAACGGTGCGTCGTTTTTTTTGTCTATAAACTCTCGCCAATTTGTGTTTTTATCCTTTAACTTTAATATCAAGTATCAAGTATCGTTTTATATATTAAAGATGATTTTCGATTTTGATAGCCGCTTATCTATCTTTTGTATTATATGATTTTTCGTGTCAATTTTTTTGTGGATTTGCACGGAACAAAACCGGATTTCATATTTCTATTACATATTTTATGTAAACACTACTTTGTTATTATTATTAATATAAACACAACTGAAAATTCCCTCGATCTGTCGGGCCGAACAAGTAGTGCACCTGATGGTAAGCTACACGCCTGTTCATTACAGTTACAGTGCCACTCAAAGCTTTAAATCGTAAAGATCCTAGGTCCTCTGCCGCTGCGCCTGTCGCCCTGAGACATAAGTTGACAAGCACCCTTACCGTTCCAAATCGGAACTCAGTGATGCTCACATTACTGCTTGGCGGCAGAAATAGATAAGGTGGCAGTACTTCCCAGGACGAACTCTTTCACAATGAGCTCTACTGCGACTTAATTTTTTTCACACCGTTTTATTCTCATTGTGTAATCAATCTTATTAATATACGAAGCGCGTTGCTTCCTCCTTCCCAATACGTATAGCAAAGGTATGGAATATACTACCGGCATATGGGAATCGCGAAAACTACTATTTAGGGCTATTTAAAGCTAAAGTGAATAGTCATATTTTGGGCAAACGCGTGCCATCATCGGTTACATCATCGCTTAACATCAGGTAAGATTGTGGCCAAGCGTGTGTCTATTTTATATAAAAAAACCGAATTCATTAACGTATATTAATTTTCAAATCAAGAAGTGATAATTTTTATCGCCATTATTATAATGTTAATATTTATAAAATTAATTGGAACAACAAAATGCTACCACTTGTCTAATGTTGCAAAAAAATGCTACAACGTGTCAATTGTCAATCTCAAACAGTCACAAACCATTTTTTTTCCGAAGAGTTTTCTTCGTGTTTATTTAGTTTTCGCACTGTTTGTCATTTTTAGCCAAAAATTATAATTTTATCAAATAAAATGCCTTCGAGTAATACGAATACACATATGACGAAATTACAGGCACATGGCACTTGTCAACTTATGTCACGGGCGCAGCGGCAGTGCCCATAAGATCATTGGGATTTAAAGCTCTGAATGGCACTGCAACTGTTATGGATATGTCGCTTACCACCAGGCGCACGACTTAAATCGTTCGTCCCGCCAATTGGTATCGTAAAAAAAATTTACAAAAACAACAGAAAACCTGGAACGAATTAAAATAAAAGTTCAAACTAAACTTCAATTTTTACTTAGAATTACATAACAGTTATTTTAAATACACTGCCGTAGTAAAGTGATTGATAGTTACGCTTGAAAAATATAGAACAAAATATCATATAATTGCTTGAAGTAAATATACTATACCTATTCTAATCTCTGATTAAGATTTAATTGTATATAAATTAAAATAGACCTAGAAGTTATAGAAGTCCATGGCATACTTTATTCTCGACCCGCAAATGAAGTGCGGTATAACGAACGTCTTGGTAATTTCAAATTACTGTGACCAGCTGGATTAGATTGGTTAGATCTTAGACAGATAAGATTAATGCTGGAGGGAGTATCAGAAAATCAATCATCAGTCATTGTTCTGAACAGACGAAGGACCTGATATTAATATATTTTGACGCTATAGCTGTAACGGATAATTTGCATTGTTATTTTGGTTTTTTAATAACAAATTACTGGTAAATGACGATGGTATTGCCTAATATAGTGTATAATGATGTTAATATAAGTAACGAACTTTGTAGGTTTTAGTAGTTGACAGTTACTGAATAAAATTAAATTCAAATTATTTAAATGGCGTCCACGTAAAACACCAGTGACGCGGTTTTTGTCGAAAAATGTCGAAGTCATCATTTCAGTAGTCAATTGTATGTAAATTGTTTTTCAATAGAATTAACATGAGCGTGACACCAATGCGAATTTTTGTGTATTTAAATCAAGATTTTCGTCGGCATCAAGGACTTTGGACCTTGAGTTATTTCCTACTCGGTTTTATGTTTTCTCATCTTCAACTTTTAATGTTTACTTTTATTCTTGTTGTAAGATGTTTGCATGTGGTATCTTGAATTCCTCGCTTTTGAATCGCAGTCTGACGTAAGTATCTCGTGCAATGTTTTCGTTCCTGAATTTATGAAACCTATTTAAAGCTCACACAAACTTCGCGTTCAACATCTGACTATTCTCATTATCGTAACCTCACAAAAGCTCCAAGCGAATTTGATCTAAAAACATATTCCCACTTACCAAATGGATAGAAGAAATCCTTTGTATCTTTAGGAAAACCTTGGTCACCAACGAAGAACAAAAATAAACACTGCACGTAATAACTTTCCGTTTCACTTCAATGTGCTTTTTTGGCGGGAGTTTTGACAGCCGGACACGCGTGCGCTCTAATCGCGTCGCGGGTGCGGACTGAAGAAACTAGCCAGCTTTTCTCTAGTGCGCGACTGGCAGTCGGGACGCGTTGTCTTTGCCCTTGTTTTTTATTATTTATTTTTTAAAATAGTGTGCGACTGTGACGTGCTACCGCGTGATGCGGACAGGTTCGTATGGAGTCAATTAGCTGCGGTTTTCACGTACCTACTTTACAGACGGCTGCTACTGTCCGAGTTAACTGTAGAATTAGTTCATAATCTTAAGTGATACATATGCATTGCGTTACATTGGCAAGGATTCAGAGAACACACACGTATTTGTAGCTTATCTTGCGGTACCCCTTTACATTATGGTTACATTTTATGGGTTTCTTCGTGTTTATGGATTGGTAGTAAAACACAATACACAGTTGCCTATCTGTCCGTCCAGTGCACGTAAGAGGCTAACGTTGAACGGTCATTCTCAGACTAGTGTTCAATGTCTAATTTTCCTGGCAATTTGTATTATTTAAAAGTGATGTCCTCAAAAAGGCTGGGATTCGAAGGGACAATAATAAAAGAAGTTGTTTGAAAAGGGTAGTTAATGTATGTGAGGCGCGAGAGTTGTGTCAGGATAGAATAAAGTGGCGTTCGGTGGTAGGAAGAGGCGTACCCCTCCTGTGAGACAAGACATACATAAGCTTCGAGATTGTTACACAATGAAAAAAAACCATTCCATTAAATATACATCCGGTATGTAGCCGTCCATCTGGATGTACGATGGGAGGAAGGGGCGCGTGGAGTGAGCTGGCGGAGTTTATGCACTATATTACAGATATACTTAAATAATAAAAATTACCACGAAAATTAGGTAGTAAACACTCGAGAATGACCGCGAAGACTTCGGTGGCCACGGTTTGCACTATAGACGTCGTATGTGGAGGTCCCGGGTTCGATTCCAATTCCATTTATTTGCCACACACAAAAAAAAACATAAAACATACAAATGAAAAATGTAACATATAAATAGTAACTAGAAACACAAAACTATATCTATGGTTACAGAAGTGTGGCGAGGATTCTGAGTATATGCACAGCGTATACTGATTTTCAGCCAGAAGTTTGCACAACACTGATTTTCAGCCAGAACCTCCCTTAAAAGAGCTACGGTCTCACATTTGTGTAACAGGCAATTTATGGAACAAAATTAGTACAGACCTTCAATTAAGCTATTTGAGGAGCACGAAAGTAGAAAAAAATAAAAAATAAAATAATAATTTACACAATAAAAAGCGATAGCGATTTTAATTTCCTTAGATGGTAAAAAGTGGAATAAAAATAAAGAACAAAACAAATGTTTGAAGGAGAAAAAAAAACAGTTTTCCTAAACAGAAACTTACAAAATAGGTATGTTTAAAATTTACAACATATTTTTCATATCAACATAATATATTCCCGGTAGGACCAATTTGAGAAGTAAACTTTTTTTAATTGCTTCTGGTCTGGGTTTACTGGGTAGTGCTCCGAAGTGTATTCCGTTGCTTTGGAACTCATAATACGGGGTATTGTAGTTTTTAACCTGATAGTTGGTGTAGTTGTCTGGCACATTATTACCACCATAACGTCATAATGGAAGACGAACTCGTAAATTGGTAAGATAAAAATCGAATCGTAATGTCCATCCCTAGTCGTAGAATTTGTTTCGATATTCATCTTTACCTTCAGCGACAATGGCTAGTCACAATGTACATAGGCACTTACAAAACAATGCATCTATTAATGCAAGTAGATCGAATGACATGTCGAGCTGTTGCCATTGGATCTTTTTATAAATAACGTATCTAGGTAATACGATGCGCGTGCGCAAGCTGTTTCTACAGCATGAGTGAATAAAATTTACCTCAACGGAATTAAATTCTGATAAACATATAGTGCAGGAAATTCCTCAATTTGGGACCATGTTTGTGAGTGCGATTGTACATTTAGCATTTTACTAATTTAACAAATTAGTTTTAAGCATTTTGTTGAAGGAAAACCATCGTGTGGAAACCAGCACACATCTCTATTAGGGTGGTAAATAGGAAATTACTAACGAGAGTTTGTTAGAAGCCCGAAGCCGAAGGCTAAGGGCTTTAATGACTCGAGGCTTGTAATTTTTACCGCCCGTGCTACATACGATGTTTTTCATCACATTTGCGGAGGAAATATATACAACGATAATTTATTTCTTGTATGAATAAATATCGCTTCACAAAACAATATTTACTGATTTTACATTTTTTTTATTGTAACTTATACCATCTACTTGTTCTAAGTGTTGCAACAACTTATTTCATGATTTCACGAGAATTAAAAAAAATCTGTAAAAAAACTACTTAAGAATTCGTTACCGGAGCCTGTTCTACTCTGTACAGTTTACAAAATTGGGATATTAAAAAGAAAGTTACCTGTAGAACGCCAAATACTATATGTAGTATAGTAAATAAATATTGGATTAATTTTTCTTAAAATTTCAACGAAAAATTTTAATTTTTGGCAATTAAAGTCTACATTTACACGACCTTTAACTTTTGACGATTAACTTTTGGCGATGGGGATAAGTAGTAAGAAATTTCAGCAAACAAAAAATGTCAAACAAAGAGATTGAACTTTTGGACTTAGAAGGTAGCAAACAAAAGTCACTAGAAAAACAAGAATTATATCCACTTGCATCAGATCTGTCTTCCTCATTGCAAAAAAGTAACGAAAATACGAGTATGAACATTCCTGAGAAATTGTTTCAACTGAGAGCAAAAAATAAAACGACTGAGATACCAACGAGACAAAAAGGTAAAAGTACTGAAAAGTGTTGTAAGAGATGTGGAAAAAGAGAATAAGAAGATTGAAGACTTTCTACATATACCAAAAATAATATACAAATATCAAGTAAAACTGAAAATCAAATAGTTGGAAAAATTATAGAAGAAAGATCGGAAGGTAGTTTAACACTAAAAAAGAGACAGTAATTTTGAAATGTTGGTATAAATTCTATCATTAGAGTAGTAAGAAGCAGAAGCTAAACTAACCACAAAAAGAAAACGAAAATCATGACGATACTAATAAGGGTAACATAAAAGGAAAACGTAAGGGTAAAAAGAAAATGAAAAGAAAAAGGAATAGATTATTAAAAATAGTGTTTGAATAGAAGAATTAGAGAAGTGTTAGAAAAAAATATGTAACTTTCAAGTATGCTGTTTTTTCCACTTTTTTAATATAATTTTGGGTTTTAGAAAATATTTATTTTGTTTTGTTGATTTAATTAATATACAAGGTTGTTTACTAAAATAGCTATTAACAAAGAAAATGTTAATTATTATATTGTTACTTGTAATAGAATTTACACATTATACATACACGTGCACACAAACGTACATGAACACGCGCACATGTATACATTACCTAATTAATAATAATTAGCACCTAAAGTTCCTGACGAAGATTTGATGGTACTTTCGATGTGATACTTATCTTAAAGTTTTGTTGCAATTTTAAGTTTCAGTTCCAGTTTTTAGGTTTAAGTTTAAATTTTCTTTTTATTTTCATTTTATTTTCATTATGAGTAGGAATGACAAAATAATAAGTTTTTTTATTGTATGCATGCATATCATTACAGTAACCTTATATTTCACTACCTTATCATTTCCATGCCCATTCTTCATTACCGTAGCTAGATATATTTTTAAAAACCAATTATCGTCTTCAATATTGATTTTATATCTGTGCCTTTAATTTCTCTTGTGTTAGGGTACATCTTCAGTCCCATACTACTTTCAAACATCAATAAAAATTTATGTTTCACCTTTTTTTGACAACAACAACAACAAAATTTTGCGCAATTATTGCTAAACTGTAGAAACACCCAGGCTTAGAATAATAACGCATAGAAACCTAGTCCGCACACGCTAAGTGAGGCAAATTGAAGCGCGCCAAAAGGGCCTACACGAGTGCGCGGGCCTTCAGTGCTCAAGGTCAACTTGCACCGCGAACAGCTCCAGAATTTTAGCTAAAAATGACGAAATGTGCGGTAAATGAGTGTAAAAATACGTCAGACAAACATAAAATAGATACTAACATCACATTCCACAAGGAAGTAACGCGTTTCAACTTGTATTTTTATATAAATATTCACTAAAACCGAAAATTAACCTACTACTAAAACTAGCCTACATGAATTTGATTTTTGCCTCACTTGTGACAGTTCGTTTGATATGAAACTATCATTCTATGCCATTGACTTACAATTATATGGACGTCGGGTCCGCGCTAAAAAGTGTCCGAACTTATAGGGCGTTAAAATCGTATACAAAGCGTCATTCACGCTTTAGTCTTCGTTTGTTCGACTGACAGCGAAGCAAGCAAAATTAGACAGTACTGCGATGACATTACAATTTAAATTCAACGTTTTAGCTTTTTCATATTCCTTTACATGTCACTACGTTTAAATAGGTTGACTTGGGACATTTTTTTCGTGGTTTTTATATTAGATCCGTCGTCCATTTATTTGTAAGTCAATGTTCTATGCGTTGTTATTCTAAGCACCTGGGTATTTTCCATAGATAACAACTCGAACTAAAATTGTATAAGAGGCACAGACGCATGCCGCCATAATGTATTAGTTATTAAATGGATGATTTCCAAATTCTAAAAATATTGCAGAATTTGAAGTCACAAAATAAATTTAGTAAAATGTACTTAAATTGCAAAAGTTTAGTTTTATACATGACGTTTATGCGAAATAAACGTTTAAATGTTTCAAGCATAAAAACTTTTTGCTAAATCTTAACGTAAAAAATCCATAGGGCGATAATGTAATAAAAAAGCCCGTGAGCGTAATTTATTACATGACACTGTTTGCAAGCAAATGTGATGAAAAGCATTTTAATGTTGTGTGTGAACAACTGCCCAAGCCCTCCCATTGTGAGAGGAGGCTACCCAGCAGAGGGACTATTTGTTTTTTATAATATCACGTAACGGGATGAGCAAGTCGTGCGCCTGATAGTAAGCTACACGCCTGTC